AAAATCGTTTCGGTCATTTAGGAGGAGTTAAGCCACCAGAATAAGTCTTTTACATACTGACACTCTTCGGCATTTTTTCCCATACAAAATCTCTCACGCATTCGTTATACGGAGAAAATGCGCAACATCATCTGCGAAAAAATTCTCAAAAATCAACGGTATCTTGTAGTCATTAAAAACTTGCACTTTACGATACTGAAATTGAGTGAACTAAAAAACTGCATACTCAAAATTTGGTGCCATTTGATGCAAAATGAACTATGTTTCTAGAAAGAATTAACAAAAAAAAATTTTTATGTAAATGAAAAAAAGCACTGTATTCTGGGTGTATATATTTACAGATAGGTAAAAGTTTCAATATGTTTGGAAAGCACCACGTCCCTTTTCCAGTAGCCCAAAAATCTCTATACCAATTTCCAGGACATTACCACAAATACTTTCAGAGATATACGGTATGAAAAATTCGATATGTATGGGTGATGCCACGCTCCCTTAATATATCCAAAGTCTGCAGTAGATGTCCAAAATTTCAAAAAATCGTTACAGCCGTTCGCGAGATCACCTCTTATAAAAAGAAGCAGCTTCTCTTTATATACATAATTAGTGTAGGTAACACAGGACAACACCGATTTTGATGGGGCAAATGTTGAAGCTAGTTTGAATAGGCTCTTTTTGCTGATTAAGGGCCATTTTTATTTTGATTGTTGAGAGTATTAAAAAGGGCCATTTTGTAATGTAAGCAGTTAAGTTGCCTTTACTAGCAGGGCAGATAAATTGTTTCTCACTTTAGAGTGTTTTTGTTTTCTTATCTTACCGGTAAAAATATATTTGTTATTCCGTAGAGTGAAACCAGAGAATGTTAATGTACAATGCTACATTTTTGCAGCATGCACCACAGTACTCATAAGCTGACGGCGTAAATTTGCAAATATTAATCATCAACGGCAGCTAATTTATGTAAATTTGCTACAAATTTCTCACCTCACCATAGAATATGGTAGTTAAAATTGATCTCAGTGATCCCGCATCTCAGATCTTCAAATTAGTACTTAAAAAAATTTTACTTAACATTTGCGCCTTCTCATGACATTAACATTCTCTGGTTCAACAGTTGCTAACTTTCCGCCATTTTTTCCATCGTACAATTTTTTCGCTACCTGAACTCAACGTGTTTTGCTCAGCTTTAACAGATGATCGAAAAGATTTACACAGCTTATATTAAATGTACTAGTCTTATAGATTGAGAGTCAGCCTTTAATTAAGAAATATTATGTCCTGATTATATAAAATAAAACTAAAAAAGTTCAAAATAAAATAATGTAAAAAAAAATATTTTTTTTTAAAACAAGATTTTATTTATTATGTACAAATAAAAAGAATAAAATAAAGTAGTGTAACAAAAGATTTGTTAGCAAACAAATTTTGTAAAAACTGCACTAAAATTAATAAGTTAAGCTTTCGTTAAAGTTAGTAAAAGCCAAATAGTGAAAGGAGTTACTCAAACTCGAATGAAAATTACTAATAATTTTTACTGATTTACTTTGAGCAACAATTTATCGATTCCAGAAATTAATGCGCTGATGAGAAAACGAAAACTCGTACATATATGGGTGTTTCCATCGGAAGGTCCACCACGACAAAAAAAATAAAAGTCTTATATCTAACGTATTTACCCTATACGATTTGTCTGCTTTTTAAAATATACACTGGCTATGTAAGTAGAATCATATTTGCGTAAAATGGTCTTCCTAGGTGGCGCCAAGGCTGAGATATTTCGAAAAACCGTATTTATGGCCGATTTGGTTCGAATTTGGCGTATGTAGTTGAAACATAATAAGTCATAGATTTCCAACAAATTCACCCTGAATTGGCGCTGAAGTCAAAATATAAAGTATATTCTACATAAAATACATGTTTTATTTGCGTTAAAAATTCATTTAAAAGCAATATTAACAAAAACATAACGATGGAAATTTATGTCACGTGACGCTACGTCACTGGTTTTTTACTGGATGTCGTTTTCGTACGCAAAAACTTGCAAGAAACTTGCAAAAGAGGGGAAATTGAGAGAGCAAAATTGACAGCTGAACTTGCAAGTTTTACTGGATTTTTACTGGATAAATTTTTACTAGCAACTATTTGCTAGTAAGAAAAACAGCTGATGGCGTGATGCTTAATGTAATTCACATTAACAAAATAATTCTTTGTGGTGCTTTTATAGTTGCAATTGACAAAATAAACCTATTTAAATATACAATAAGATGGAAAATACTAGTTTTCTAAGAAAATTGCATCGGAAAATAACAAATTGATCAGCTGTTCATAAAACTAGCAACTTCTTGCTGGTTTTGCGTTTTCGTACTTTCTTGTATATTTCACTCATTGGGAGTAAATATTGACTTACTCTCCGAAATATGGTTACTGGCAAGTTACTGGATATTTTTTGCTGGAGAATACGAAAACACAGCTACTATTTTTAGCATATCCAATCAGCTGATGAATTTGATTCTGTAGCTGAATAGTTTTAGATCTCGACATTTAACAAACTCCTGTTCCCACGATTCGCACCAAAAAAAAAAAAAGGAAAACAAGTAAGAAAGTCTAAGTTCGGGTGGAGCCGAACATTAAATACCCGGCGCAAGTATTAAACATATGTTTTTTCACCTTTCCGAAACCTACCGCTAGATGGTAAGCCGGGGATGTATCAATTTTGAGTAAATTAGCGTCCTTAAATTTCGAAATATAGCAGTTTCAAGCATTTCTGAAGTTTACCGTTATATGGAAAGCGGCCGTAATTTTAGTCCGATTTCAATCAATTTCAACGTTTTGCTTTTATGTGGCAAGCACAATAAAATTACCGAGTTTGGTACAAATTGGTAGAACGGTTACCGATATACATATTTGCGACCATATTGGTAAAGAATTGTTGCGAGCATCAATTTTGAATAAGTCAGCTTTAATATTTACTGATTTATCGAAGATTTTGTATTTCTGTAAATTACCGTTATATGGGATGTGGGCGTGGTTATTGTCCGATTTTTTTAAATTTTCGGCCAATTAGTATGCTGTATGAAGGCCAACAACTGTGCTAAGTTTGGAAGAAATTGGTGCAGCGGTTACCACGATATACACATGTAACCATAAGTTCGCGTGGCTACGCCCATTTTCCAAAAAATTATAATATTCTTATTTTTCGTCTAAAAATTGTTATAAATATCAATTTTGAGTGAATAATCGTCGGTAGTTACTAAAATATCGCAGTTTTCGTATTTCTGGAAATTACCGTTATATGGGAAGTGGGCGTGGTCCGATTTCGCCCATTTTCAATACCAACCTACATTGGATCAACAGAAACCTACATACCAAATTGCGTGGAGATATCTCAATTTTTGCTCGAGTTATCGTGTACGGACGGACGGACAGACAGACATGGCTTAATCGATTTCTCTTTTCATTCTGATCATTTATGTATACATTTGTCTAAATCTATCTCGATTCGTTTTGGCTGTTGCAAACAACCGTTATGTGAAAAAAATTAATATACCCTTGTGCACAAGTGCGCTCGGGTATAAAAAGGTTCCGTACGTCATGTGGACTGCGCCCCTCGTGTCGTTAGGGATGGAGGGTAAAAACCGTTGGGATTAATTAATTGTACATGTTAAATAAAGGCTTGTTTTTAAAATATATTTGTTTTTGCAATATTTTATTTATCTAATATATCCTGTACAAAAAACTTGCATAAATGTATTTTAAAGAACGTATTATTATACGAAGCCAATTATGAGTATTTTCTGATATATATCTCGAAGTATAATAACTGTTTATGGAGAAAATTACGAACCATGCCTCAAACTGGTTCATAGGCATGCTACACAGCGGGTGAAAAAAGGTTGCTGTGGACAAATGAATTTTGAGAGCCCAAATGTGAACCGATTTCAAGTCTCTTTTTTTAAATAAGAGATAATTAAATTTCACATCGATCTATTCCAAAAAAGTGGAAGCATTCAAACGTAAAAATTTTGTTTCTTTTATTTTTCAACATAAGTAAATAAAACAACTAGGGCTTTACTAAAAAATCGCCACGGATAGATCGACGTGAAATTTAATTATCTCTTATTAAAAAAAAGAAACTTGAAATCTGTTCGGCTCTCTAAATTCATTTGTCCACAGAAACATTTTTAGCCCCACTGTGCGCCATTTTAATGAGCCTTCAAGGCGTGGAAATACCGAACATCGAATACGGGACAAATACAGGACATTAAAAGAAATACAGAACAATTGGCGTCCCGTATAAAATAAATAAATTACCAGGCCAATTGGTCAAAAAACAATTGTTGGATCGTTTGTGCGATATCGTCCACTCAATTCCAGTTTTGATTCACGTAACAGTAACAGTAGCACGTAACAGAAAAAAATGCATAAATCAGTGTTTTGACGACATCTTTTTGTCAGTATCGTTTGAACCACAATCGTTTCAAAGTTACGTGATTCATGCCCAGGACTGTCCCGTATAATACAGAACGGATGTTCACCGTAACGATATTGTATGTTATTGTATCGTAGCGAATGCAAATCCATCAACATAAACATTCTTAAAATGTTGACGGGACTATCCGCCAGAAAGCTTCGCGATGAGCCAAAAATCAAAATTTTACCAGATCAGATACAAAATTTGACTAGAAACATTTTAAAAACCGTGCGATTTTCAATAAGATATTAGTATACGACTTTTTTACTACTATTCTGGCATTGGTACTTAAACCCGTACATGTTAACACTATAAATATTATGATGTAGATTTGAGGTTTATACCATACTCTGTAAATTGTGGGATAACATAAATATCTTAATGTTTTTTCTACTTAATAAAAATTCACCTCATTTCATACACCTTTTTATCATTCAGGTCGGAAGCATGCTATCTACAGTTGATTACAGGCTTTCATAACTACATATATAGCTTTATATTATGACCTTCTGGAATTTCTTTTATTTTGCAGATCCATATGAACCTCAGACAGCAAAATAGGGCCACCCACCCTGCTGCCCTGACGAATATATTTACATTGTAGTGTGGCCTGCATGGAACGCCTGCGGCTGCCGTCTAATGCCATTAAATGTAATCAAGGAACAAAGAAGCAAAAGTGTCACAGCCACAATTTGCAAAAAGGATTTCTTCCTACAGCAGCAACAATAAAGTAAGAATTGCAACAAAATAACACAATTCACGTCCACAGGCACTCAACCAACAAATATAATGATATCAAACACAGTTGCCACAGTACAATGAGGCGCGCCTCTAAGCACAATTCCAGAGTGCAAATGTCGAATGCCAGCTGGAGTCGCCGCCGACGGTTCTTCAACTTCTTTCTACAATTGCGTATATATCCATTATTTCGATTATTGCCGGTGTTGTGGCTGCTATTATGCTATTGTTGCTGTTGCTGTTGTGCCGAAAACAGGCGGAATGCCGCGGAGCATAGTGTTAAGTTGAGCAACTGCTACGACATTCGATATGGCTTTGATGGGGTGCTAACGGGCAGTGTGCCAAAGCTCCTATATCCTGCAGCCAATAGCTCTAATAGAGGCAACAGTAGTACCATTACCAATGCAAACATGAGCACCACGGTGAGTGATCTGTGGACGCAACACCAACTGCAGTTACAAAACGGTTCAGATGTAGATGCACTGGGCTTCCGACCAGGACCGGCGATACACACAGGTTGGCAATGTTGCTGCTGGAATGCGACAAATCATGTGAGTAAAACAGCAGGACTACTATGTACTACCACGATGCAGAAAATGAAGGTGCCGCCATTCGCGGACTTCGGATTCTTAAAAAACTTAAGCAAAATTTTAAGGGCCGTTTTCTCATCTAAGCTTTAGATTACCGGCCACTTCATCGTCTCGATATACGAGTTTTCGTTTTCTCATCAGCGCATTAATTTCCCGAATCGATAAATTGTTGCTTACCCGTTGCAACCTTTAAAATTTGTACCTAACTTTAAATTTTGGTTCATGAGTTAGATATATTAGATATTTCAACCAAGGTTTTGGTTTTTGCTAACAGGTGCTCTTGCTCTATATTTGCTTATGTTGCATTGCCAACCTTTGGAATTTTATGACGAATGTAGTGAAGTTTCACTCTAGGAAGTGTAGTAAAGTTTCACTCTACGGAATAACAAATTTATTTTTACCCGTAAGATAAGAAAACGAAAACACTTTAAAGTGAGGAACAATTTATGTGCCCTGTTAGTAAAGGCAACTTTAAGTAATCTTAAGGGCCGTTTTCTAATGCAAGCAGTAAAGTTGCCTTTAAGAGGGCAGATAAATTGTTCCTCACTTTAAAGTGTTTTCGTGTTCTTATCTTACCGATAAAAATAATTTTGATATTCCGTAAATTGAAACTTCACTACATTTCCTAGAGTGAAACTTCACTACATTCGTCATAAAATTTCAAAGGTTGGCAATGCAACATAAGCAAATATAGAGCAAGAGCAACTGTTAGCAAAAACCAAAACCTTGGTTGCAATATGTAATATATCTGACTCATGAACCAAAACCAAACCAAAATTTAAAGTTGGGTAAACATTTTTAAAGGGTGCCGCGGGTGAGCAACAACTTATTGATTCGTGAAATTAATGCACTGATGAGAAAACGAAAACTTGTATATCGAGACCAGGGGCTCTATTCTGTAACTGTGCGTTTTCAGGTGTACACTGAAAATTGTGTGCACTCTTCATTTTGCGATTCAGGAAGAGTGAGAATGAGTTTTAGCTGTCAAAATTGTGTACACTTCCTCATTTTGCGATTCAGCATGTGTGAGAATGAGTTTTAACTGTCAAAATTGTGTACACTTCTCTTCCGAAAAACTTGCTGAACTTTTGTCGGGGAGTTTTTGTTGTGAGTTTTGCACCCGGTGTACACTACATTTTCTCACAGTTACAGAATAGAGCCCCAGGGTTGTTGCGAATATTGTTCCGAAATGAAAGTATTTTCCGGATAATAAACAAACCGCTTATCCAAATTAAACAAGTTTGGTATCAAATGAAAGAGGACTTAAATAGCTTTAAAACTGAAATGTCTAAACGAGGAAAGGCACATATTGAAAACTATTTCAACAAAAAATGTTAATTAATTACCATAGAACAAACCTATATAAAAAAACCTTATAAAAAAAATATAAATAGAGGTCTTTCGTTATATCTGTTTAAAAGCTAATTCAGTCCTCTTTCATATGATACCAAATTGGTTTAGTTTGGACAGGCCGTTTGTTTATTATCCGGAAAGGACTTTTATTTTGGAATAATATTCGCAACAATCCTGTTCGAGACGATTAAGTGGCCGGTAATCCAAAGGTTAGATGACAAAACGGCCCTAAGGGCAGTAAAGTTGCCTCTACTAACAGGGCAGATAAATTGTTCCTCAGTGTTTTCGTTTTCTTAACTTACCGGTAAAATTAAATTTGTTATTCCGTAGAGTGAAACTTCACTACACTTCCGAGAGTGAAACTTTACTACATCATAAAATTTCAATGGTTGGCAATGGAGCATAAGCAAATATAGAGCAGGAGCAACTGTTAGCAAAAACAAAAACTTTGTTTGAATATATCTAACTCATGAACCAAAACCAAACCAAAATTTAAAGTTGGTTACAAATTTGTAAAGGTTGCATCGGGTGAGCTAAAATTTATTGATTGGAAAAATTAATGCGGTGATGGGAAAACGAAAACTCGTATATCGAGACGATAAAGTGGCCGGTAATCTAAAGGTTAGATGAGAAAACGGCCCTAATTAAGTGTTGTAAGCAACTTTACAAAAATGGGAACAAAATCATGGCAAAATGACATTCATAGGCGAGAGAATATGTTGGCCAACAAAATATGTGGCAGCACCTTCAATCACGCCAGAACATTAATTTTTACTAGCAGACCCGGCGAACTTCGTCCTGCCCAAAATTTTTATTTTTTTATTGAAACTTTTTGGGCCAACATTCTCATTCATCTGCTAAGATTATGGTTTGGTGGTTATTTGTGTGCAGCATTTCATAAAACGGTTATTCGCAAAACGAAATAAATTTGAAGAATGTTTCCCTCTTCCCTACATGGCGGCAACAATGACCCGGTTCTATAGTGAATCTGTCCTAGAAGCTTTACAGTATAGTTGGTGGCAATCTCAAAATGGGTTCAACAAAAATGCAATATACATGTACTGATTTCAGACGAAATACCTTAAAAGCTGGAACGCATAATAATATCGGAAAATCACATCCTTTGGGCCAATCGTAACACAGTAGAGTTCGATATACTCAATGGTGCAACAGGTCGATTTAATCTGACCTTCACGGCACTTTTTCTCACTTGGCTATTTTTTTTAGTAATAACTCGACTCCAGCGCCACTTGGCAGCACGTTTTTGCAATAGTATTGCCCTTACTATTACCACTACATATTTAAAATATTAGCTAAATCGGATCATAAATAAGATTATTAGTAATAACTCAACTACAGCGCCAACTGGCGGACTAAATTATAAAACTAAACCTTGATTTCATATATATACATATCTCCATACGAAGTATGAAAAATTCTGTTTGTATGGGAGGTGCCACGCCCCCTTTTCCAATAGCTCCAATTTTTCTCCAAGAATATGCGATTGATCCCGTATATCTCCATACCAAGTTCTAGAACTCTACTATGAACACTTCCAGGGATACGTAGTATGAAAGCTTTAGTTTGTATGGGAGGTGCCACGCCCCTTTTACATATAGAATTTTGTTTAGCCTAAAACCATCCTTGGGACACGTGCGGCAGGTGTCTGAATCAGGGTTGTTGCGAATATTCGTATTCGCAACCGCGGAGTTTCCGCATTAATTTTAACATTCGCATTCGCTTTCGCATTCGCAATAATCAATGCGGAGCTTTTGCGAATGTTGTGCAAGTGCACCGAAAAATGACAAATTGTAGCCAATATTTTTGCCTGCGGTCGTGGGAGTATTTGTGTAACAAAACCGGTCAAATGTCATATTTATAAAAATGTCATATACATATTATTTCTTAAGCATATACATATTTCTATACATATACATATATATATTTCTTAACATATACATATTATTTCTTAAGCTATATAACCGAGCTATCAATGGGCAGTCATACAAGATCCAACTTCTACTTGACCTTTGACGTACGTCATAGAGAACATAGTCTTTTTAGCAAATTTTTTTTCCTGTGCTTTAAATACCTGCATTGCTTTCTTTCTTTATTATGATTTTTTTGGGCCAATCTTAAAAAAACTACTAGACGCAAAAGAAGAAAGTGTACACTGTAATTCTTAACCAAATTTTCGAGATTTGCCTTTGATCTTACATCTATATTGGTTTCAATAATTTCAAATGGGGCTCTTTGGGGAATTTATTTTTAGCAAAAATTTTAAAAACAGTAATTTTGTTTACATGTCGGGCAATATTTTTTTTATAGGGATATACATTGGATCCTTGGCTAAAAACTTCTGTGGTAAAACTGTCCCTTCTTTGTTATTTGAAATCAAAGTGTAAGCTCTTTAAATAGGGATTTCCAGCAGAAATGATAAACGTCTGGACATAAAGAGAAATAATTAAAAAACTATAGGTCTGACCTTTAATAAGATAAAAATTACGTGAGATTCAAATGCTTATAAAAAACAGAGTGTTTCTTTTTTTTAAATAACAATATTCTGATCCGATTCGGCTGGCAGCCACGAGTTTGAAAACAGAATTTTGTTCAAAATTTTATTCCTGGAAAATAATAATTTATTTTCCATATCCACCTATTTAGCTCGCTATAAGCACACATTTTTCAAACCAGTCGCAGAAGGAAGTATTAAAAATAACAGAAATTAAAATCGAAAAACGCTCATGATGTTACATTCCCTAAATTCTGAAACAGCCAAAGGAATGAGAATGAAGAATTCTTTTTAAAGAACTTTAGAAAAACCTGACACATCTGGTTTGGCTTGTAAGCGCTGTTTAAACAAAGATCTCGTCATTATGCTTGATTCTAATTGTTTCTTAAAAATACTTGACATCCGCATTCGCATTCGTATAGCTGTTAGATATTCGCATCCGCTTTCACATCCGCGGATGACTTAACCCTCCGGTTGTGTGAAGAATTTTTAGTCGGTCGTTAGAGTATTAGTCACCCAGGTGACTATGTGCAAAATGTATCAAAATCCCATAATTTGCAAGAGAAGATGCACACAAATGATAGGAGGTCATTCAGGAATGGCAAAATGCAAAGGTAAGGGAAGTGACCATGGTTGTAACTGGGTAGGGGCAAGGGCTCTACATTTAAAGTTCTACCTATATATATATATATAAAATAGGTCCCTGATATGCTAGCTTAATAGTTTCGAGGATGATCAATTCGAAGACATCGAAGGTGAGTATCTGCCTGAAGGATCTGCTTCAGATGAAGAGGAGGGCGACTTTCCGGCAGAAATAAAAGCTGAGGAAGATATCTCTGATTTGAACGATATTGAAGTCAAAATCGAAGAGCCTAAAGATGCAGAAGTTGAGCAACAACTTTTGAGTTCAGCTATGATAAATTTAAGGCCGGATCAAATTTATACTTCAAAAGATAATACGATTTGGTCTAAGAATCCATTGTCTAATGCTGGTCGAGCTCAAACGCGAAATATCATGCGTGTGAGCGGTGCGTATTATTTGGCGCTTCTATACAAGCACCGGGTTTTTTATTACATTGCTTCCATACTTACAGAT